TCTCCTTCTTTCCCTTGAGCCGTATATATTTTATGAGAAATTTAAGAATTACCTCTTATTAAAATGTGGATAGGGTAATTACCAATAAAAAGCAGATGTTATGGCATGACTAATGCTTAAAAATGTGTACGTAGCAAGCACAACGTAGCAGCGCATCCAGGCTTTTCAGTAAGATAATAAAAGTCGTCTTTGTTAAGTTTGCTGGCCAAATCGCAGAGGTCTGAGGGAAATCGCTACCGCAAACGCTGCAAGGCTACGTGAAAGGCCAGGCTTTGCTCCCATTGATCTCAGGGGCAAAATGTGACTTTGGAGGAAAGCTAAAACGAGCAAGTACACCTGGTTCGGGGTGTGCAGGTATCAGAGATACGCTGTTTGCCTTGCCAGCACCAAGCGGTGTCTGAAAAGCAGGCTCTCTCCTACTTCCAGGGCTGGGGCTTGCCGTGCTGAGAGCATCCTTCTGCTGAAAGTTGTAATGAGGTCTTAATTAGCGACCTTGCTTACACCTCAGGCAGCTCTCCGTGGAGCTATAACCCACCTGCAACAGTCAAGATCAAGCCCTTGGATCAGGCACAACTGTTCGGGCACGTTGGATCTGGAGCAATCCGTGTAGGCTGGCTTTTGAAATAGGAACGCACGAGTATTGTGTAAATTGAGCTGTTCGACAAATGTCTACAAGCAGTTCCTGGGTTTGCAAACTTAAACTGTGCTCATAATTTCCTCTCCTTTCCTTCCTGGCAGATTGAATTAGTTGCTTTTCACTACAAATGTTTTTTTAAAGCAAAGCTCTTCTTGCAAAAGAGCCTTCTCAGCTTACATGAAAAGGTTACGGATGGGAATCAGGGGCATGGGAAGGAGGAGGGATCGGTGCCTCGTCCTGCCCTGGGCTGGCAGGAGAGCCCTGGGCTGGGGCTCCCTGAGTGCCAGGGATGCTGGTGAAGGCACTGGTGCAAGGAGTGACCTGAGACACCTCTGAGGGCAGGGGCCAGTGCTCATCCCTGTCTGCTCCCATCTTCAGATCCTTCACTCAGAGCCTTGTCCAGCCCCCAGCGATTCGGGGCACGCTGGAGACAGCAGAACAGGCGATCGCTCACTCCCCCTTCACTAGACTCAAAGGCTTTGAAGTTCACTATCTTTGCCTTAAGACCTTCCCATACTCATTTCTTAATTTCCTGTGCACATGAATGTCATATTTCAATTAAAAAAAAAAAACTGTTAAAATCCTCCAGCTATCCTTGGCAATGCAGAAGTGTCAGTTCACAAGAGAAACCTGCAGCAATTTGCTCGTGTGCTTTCCCGGCGGGAGGCATGGAGCGCTTGGAGGAGGGCACGTCCTCCGGCCGCACCGTGCACGCGCGCGAGCTGGAAATGCTGCAGCTGCAAGGGAGAAGAGCTGAAAGACTGCTCTTTTTCCCCTTTGATGATTTTTTTACATTTGCTTGTACTAGTATTAGCTCTGTCATTTTATGAAATTAAACCAAGACATATGCATAAGCAACCTTGACAGCAATCAGTTCTGGCAGAATCTTTGTGGTTAACGAATTTCAATGAGGCTGAGGTTTTTGGTGCCTGAACACTTCCTTAACTGTTGGTGTGTCACGCTGATGCAGTTGAGAAATCACATTATAACAAACCACATTTACGTCAGGCAGGAGAATAAATGGGATGAATAATGATACAGTCTATTCAAAATCATTCCTGTACTTTAGCGCTCTGAAGTTTTAGTAAATAGATCAAATATTATATGGGAATGAATCTTATTCCAAATTTCTTTGTTACTCAGGCTTTTATGAACTTTTTTAATGTATAGCCAAAGGAGCCGCTCCACTTGATCACATTTGCCAATTAAAAGCTAAAATACATATGTATTGATACAGTAATATGAAAAATTATCTATAATTTAGCAAAAAATATTTTAACCTGGATGTAGGAAAATATATTGTAACTATTTTAATGTGAAGTATCAGGAGGTCTTAGTCTTGTTCTATTATTTCCACATATTTACATGAAAATTTTTTTTTTAAAGTATGGAAATATATGGCTTTTGAAAACATCTTAAAAGGCACAACTGATACGTTCCCGTGCGTCCTTCCGCGTTTGTAAACCAAAGAGAACAGCATTACTCTCAGTCTTGGTGTAATGAAAGTCATACTAATCACTGCCTTCACAGCGATTAGTAAAAAAAAATGAAAAAAATGTATTCATCTGATGCTATTTCTGTTGAAATTGAGCCTATCTTTCAAATATGTCACTTGGACTCCTGCTGTAGGACTTGGAGAAACAGGCTCTGCAGCATGGAAGAGCATCTGTGGCCTCTGCTAGAAATCTTGCTAGGGCACGACTGCTTTCTGCGCATCTTGGCCAGGTGTTGCCGAGGACAGTACTCCCCGGGGCAGGACAGCTTTCATCCGTTCCCTCTGGGCTTCGCGAAACATCCCAAAAGGAATGAGGGTGGCTCCCGCATTGCCTCCGGGCTCTCCCTGTGCCCCCACGGACATGTGTGATATCACTGGCTTCAGTTTGGAGGGGACGGCCTCCAGGACGCGGACTTCAGTTTGGAGAAGCTGTCCCTTGAAATATCTCCCAAGGACTTACTGAGCTTATTAGGTCTCTGGTTTTTTGGTCTGGCAGGATAGGCTGTCCCTGATGCCTCCAGGGCTTTTGGAGCTTCTCGCGGTTTGCGCAAGTGAAAAGAGCAGCCATCAACCCTCCCATCTTGACCACTGTGTCCCTCCTTGGCCTCCTTTTACCCTAAAAGTGCTGGAGTCCAGCCCCGGCACTCCCAGCCACACTCCTGCACTCACCAGCAGCCCTCGGCTACTGTGAGGCTGCTGTGCCGGCTCCGATGATCTGGTGGGTCTGGACTCCATCTGCTGCACGCCGGGAGGGGAGCTCGCTGCTAGCGATGGCAGCTGGGCTGCTTCCCACCACCCTTCAGAGCTTCCAGCATTTCAGAGGCGGAAGTTCACGCTCAGTTCTTACCTGGTCTTCACAGAGGCAAAACCCTTGCTGAGTTCAGTCTGTGCTAAGTAAGGAGTGCAAAGCATAAGCAGCGAGGAAAGTGATATTTCTGGCATGCTTTAAGCCTTGAATGAACAGTGAAAGAAAATCAGCTTCTGCGTTCTCTCAACACTGCCTTAATGCTGTCACACTTTGTAATTCCTGCACCGCTTTGCGGCATTGATTCTGGTGGGATCCTGTCTGTGCAAACATTACAAACGCATCTTCCTCCTGCTGCATTCCCTTTGCACCAGATCTTGAAGGGGTAGTCGCTGGAGGGATGAAGAGGACAAGTTGCTTATCCAAGGGGAGTTTAAAATAACAGAATGCAATTTTCTGAAATCTCTCTTCTTGGGGAAATGGGAGTTTTCCCTGGATAAAGTCCATACAACTTTACCTGTGGGAAAACAGCTTGTATTTTCATAATAAAAAAATCCTCCTAAATTAGAGGTAACACTTCTACGGTCTCCACTGACGAACTAGCCCTGAGTCATTATTCCCCCTAGTGGAACCCTGGAAAAATACGCCTTTTTCATTTTGGGTGAATTTGTTGAGAAAGCTGAGAAATCTAGCCAGGAAAGGACAAGAATTTCCTTTTTTCCCCAGCCCCAACACAGATTAATGTTAGACAAGAACTGATTAAATTCACCAGGAGATTCAATGCTCATCCTATGTAAGGAAAGCTGTCTGGACTATCATAGTTAATGGTGGATTAAAATGTATGGTTATCTGGGAAGTTTCAATAGACCTCTTTCCTATTTTTCTCCTTTGAGATGTTATGGAAAACATCCTGGGAACCATGATGGCTCACCTAAGGATCTCCAGTGCCAGTGATGGAAAAGTTTAAAGAGCTTTTCAGAGCAAATTATGCCTTATGAGGGCGTTCTAACTAGGTAAATTTAGGTGGCCTGTAGGACACCTCTGTGTCTTAAGATAGACATAATAGCTAGTTGTCAAAACCAGCAGACACTGGATAATCCCAAGAAGAACAGACTTGTTTCTAAAAGCAAGTATTCCCAGGTGTGACAGAAGTAATACAGTCAGAAATTCTCCCATGTCTCCAACCCTGCTGGGGGTGCGTGCCGACAAATTTGAAGCTACCAGGAGAAGAGCGATTTCAGACTTTGATACGAAATATGAGCTGCCAGATGAAAAAAATACAGTTGGTGATCTGTCTGCGTGACAGATGGCTGCTAAGGCAGCAGGGCTTCAGGCAAGGCCGCGGTCCTGGCGTCTCCTCGGGCGACATCAATGTGCTCTAGAGGGACGAAT